GCTAAGTCTATGGCATAGGGATAACATGGGTAATGCTAATTCTATGGCATAAAAATAACATGGGCAATGCTATGTCTATGGCATAGGAATAACATGGGCAATGCTAAGTTTATGGACAATGATAAGTCTATGTGTAATGTTAAGTCTATGGCATAGGAATAACATAGGCAATGCTAAATCTATGCAATAGGGATAACATGGGTAATGCTAAGTCTATCGACAATGATAAGTCTATGTAAATAGAACTAATTGTTGTCAAAAACATTTAAAATTCTCAAAATAATAATAGTGAGAGTATTATAACAATAGTATTGAAAAATTTAAAATTCTTGATGCATTTCCCGAATTGTGGTTAACGTATAGCATCGCTGTGTGATCATTTTTTCACTCGGTATTATATTTACTGAAAATGATTATAAAAACAATTACATAACGATTTTGAACTATCGGTGAAAGACATCGTTTAATATCTCTTTTATATGGACTCATATTCAGTGAACACTCGCTATAATCAAGTCAGAGATTAGCGAACAACGGCTTTGGTTTTATTGTCTATTGTGTACAACATTTTATTAAATATTCATTTAATTGAACGAAATTGTTATAACAATTTAATTAATTAACTGAATAGTAAATAGTGAAAACATTAATATAAAATTGTAAAATTAATCATGTTATGGGCATACACTGGATCAAACATACTTTACATGTGAAAGTAATGTCAATATTATATCAATTTTTATATATTGAACACAATAAAAACTTATATCGATAAATAATTTTATTATTATTCAATAAAATTTATTGTTAGTGTGTGCGATAAAACCACAATGAATATGAATCGAATGCTAAAATATTCATTGATTTTGCATATTATGATAACTGGAAGTATTGCCAGCTATGATAATGTGGTCACTCTGCCCTCCACAACACCCAATCCCTGTCACGTCGACAATACCTGCAACTGTACTGTTGATGAGATTGAAGTGATTTGTGGCGACGATATTACCGACACATCTATTAAGCGGACATTTAATGAAATTAAAGTGAAGAAATATTTGGACGCATTTGAGTTGTACGACAATCACCTCATCACTGGTCTCCCCGACTATATCTTTCAAGACGTAAAACATTATTAAATTATTTATCATTATATACTTTATAAACTTTTATTCTTATTACATCTAGTTTTAAGTTATAGTGATTTTATTGTACAATTAATTGATCATCTAGGTGTCATTCAAAACAATGAACGTGTTTAATGTGAAAACACTGACCATCCACCCACTCTTACGCAAGCGGTCAAGTCAGTTATGCTGGTGTAGAAACGCCTAGTCGAGCACAAGTGACTTCAGGTGCGAATCCTTATTTAAAGCCATTTCACAATTGGTTCGCTTGACTTCTGTTGATCTCTCAGACAATCAGGTATTGGACACACATTTTCATCATCTCTTCGATCGAGATCTAAATTTCTAACATTATTTTCAAATATTTTGTAGATTTTATAATTTGATTAGTTTTTATAATTTCTTAGTTTTTTAATACTTTATAACAATTTACAGTTCTATCAATTGATTACACAATTGAATGCAGTTATTAGAGGTTATTTCCAACACAACAATCAATAAAACTTAATTATTATCTACTCTTATTAATAAGAAATACTTATCTTAACTAATAATTAAATAAATTGTTAAATTAAATATAATAAGCTAGAGGAGATACCAGATAATGCGTTTGGGTCTAACCAGCACCTATTGACCATGGTGCTTCTGGACAGGAACCGACTGAAGACTCTTGGTAAAAATGCATTTAAACCACTTCATGGGTTAAATTGGTTGGATTTAAGCAACAATTTATTGACAAAACTGGCGGACAATTCATTTACACTGCAATCAGTAAACGGCTCGCAATACAATCCCATAAGAATTAACCTCAAACTGAACCAAATCGCCCAAATCGGTGACCAGGCCTTTGCCGGACTCGACCGACCCGTCACACTAGACCTGTCTTTCAACAATTTAACGCAATTAACGGCCAATACATTCGCCTATATGTTGAGTTACGAGCCCTCGAAGATTATTATTAAAGGTAAAGTAATAGTAACGTTAGTATGAATTTAATATACTGCATGTTTATCTAAAAATTTAAAAATTAAATTATATTTTGATTTTATTATTAATTAAATAAATTACTGTTTTATTGTTTGTGTAGGAAATCACGTGAATTGTGTCTGTGGTCTGAAATGGGTTTACGTGAACAGCACTATAAGGCCTAAGATGTCGGGTCCCCTCCGATGCGATGATAAGCGCTACTTCTCCAGCCTTACGGACACTGATTTTAAAAATTGTGCATAAATTAAAAATTACGGTACTTTTAATTTATAAATTAATGCCCAAAACTATACACAAAATAAATACCTCAAACTGTGTTTTACATTAACAATTTTTTTAATGATATAAAGTATAGTTAATTAAAATCCAATTAATTCATAGCAAATAAAAAGTTTATTTTATATATTTTATTATCAATTGTCATATCTTGTTAATACTGATAAGCAATGTGTTCATGGTAACAATTAGTGTCTAGACAAAACTAGATAATATGCGAGCAAAAACATTTGAGATTTGATAACTTTTGCATTACTAATATGATATAAAAACTATAATTTAATTAATTAGTAAATAAGCTAAAAGCACAGCCCCTGTGACTGAGGCTCAGGGGTATTGTAGGGCCACTACTGAGTCGCGCGCCAACAGGAGGACAGACAGGCCTGGAGTGTGTCAAAGGAGTTGAGTTTCCGATCGGAACAGTAGTCGATATACCGATAGCAGCGTTCGTCGGCCTCATTGTAGGACCACTTCTTGAGCGGTCGGCGATCGGCGCAGAAGTGGTCGACAGTAATGGGATTATAGCAGTATTGGGGTCGCGGGCGGCGCCACCAGCTGTTGGCTGTGCCCTCACTCAGGAGGGGTCGGTTGTTGAGTCGGCCCCTCTCCAGGAAGTTCGGGGTTCGCATATTCTTCCACATATTGTCGGCCGAATGGCTGCCTTTAGGCACTTGTATTGGCACCCATACCGTCTCATAGCCGGGTCGGGCCCGCACTGAGGGC